GGTTAGCATCAATTGCTAAAAACTACTTAGCCTCAAATGCTAAACGCAACCCGGTTAGCATCAATTGCTAAAAACTACTTAGCCTCAAATGCTAAAAGCAACCTGTTTAGCGTCAATTGCTAAATGCTACTTGGTTAGCATCAATTGCTAAAAACTACTTGGTTAGCATCAGTAGCTAAAAGCTAATTGATTATTGTTAATTGCTAAGAATTACTTGGTTAACCCTAATTACAAAAACGACTTTATTTCAAGTGATTAAAAAAAATACTCAGCAATAATTGATAAGTTACTTAGTTTGCCTCAAACATTAAAATTGACTTGCTTGGATTTAATGCTAAAAGCTACCTGTGTAGGTTCAGGCGCTAAAGCCTTCTTGGTTAAACTTTCTTCGTACTAAGAAATACAAATGCCCTAGAACATAATGTCACAAACAAAAAGTAAACTCAGTTCATGGCAGTAAATGAATTCACTGAAATAAGTTGAGCACAGTTTTGTCCTCAGATTGTGTTATTTAAGTATTAGTGCCTGCTGACAGCATGCTGATGTGTGCGTTTCTCTGCAGGCGGATTACGAGGTGACGCCGGATGAGAAGAGGAAGGAGTGCGGACAGGAGCTCATCGAAAAATACTTCAACCCAAAGGTACTCTCTGATGTTTCCTGTCAGGTCTGACACGGTTGTATTTTTATTAGGATGATATCTGTTAGTATTTTTATTGTTTATTGCCCACATGTTCAGGATCAGAGATAGCTCAAAGCTCATTTCCTTCTGAAGCAGGAAGATATAGAAACAAGCCCAAACTGAAGACCAACGACCATCAAATGACCAAAAGGTTTCCACTGGCTATTGGTCATTAAATGTGTCACAAACATAAGAAAATATCTACAAAAATCACCTGAAAAGTGTCCAAACTGTGATGTTTAAAGAAAATTATTGCATTGGACGATCTTGAATCTGATAACAAAACATCAGTTTTGTTGTCAAAGTAGCAGAGGAGCTCTGTAGGAGCGATTTAAACTTTTATTAATGATGCGTTCATTGACAAAAATATCAGACCAAAAGTCGTCAAATCTTTTCCATGTTTTACATTGTTTCTGTCTGTCGGTACCAGTGTGCTGTGACAGTGTGCACTAGACATTTATTTTATAATTTTATTCAAAATACATGACCTGCCCAGTGGAGTAAATTAATAAAACTCGTCATCACAGCAGACTGAATAGAGTCACTGAGTTTTGGACAAAGTGCTAAATTTATTTGTACTTTTTAGTTTTTTACTGTTATTATTTTTTCAGCCAGTTTTGTAGCAGAAGGTTCGACTGTCTTCTGATAAATGCCCCCACTGTGGTTGAATTTTAAAACACCTGCCTCTAGAGTGTCCCTGAACGCATCACTCAGGAGGAAGCGCTCAGTCCGGCTCGTCAAGAAGGAAATCTGATGGAAAATCAGATTTAATCAGCTGATGACGGGAGCAGAGCCGCTCATTGGCTGACCTTATGATGATGTAACTATGAAGCAGGGTTTGTGAGGTTAACTTCAGGATAATCCTGACGTTTCAGTGTCATGAAGGTGGTTCACTTCTCAGCAAGCAAAGGTTATGTTTGACATAAGAGATCACCCCCTGCTGACCAATCAGATCTCTGTGTTTGATAGTAAGAGGGTCAAAAGTCTTTTCTCTCTACCTCAGGTGTTTCCAGGCCAGGTGAGATAGGTAGTCTGATGCCTGACCAGCATCAGTGCTTCTGATACTCTGATTGGCCATTGCCTGTGTCAGGATCAGTGAAGCCAGATAACAGAAAGAAATCCTGGGTCAGGATCAGTGAAGCCAGATAACAGAAAGAAATCCTGGCCTCGCCTCGTAGTTCAGGCTGAAGCTCCGCCCTGATGTTTCCTGCTAATTCTGTGTGAGCGCGAACGTGCAAGTCTGAACCTGCAGACGAACACGAACACCTCCCAGCTCTGTCTCAAACCTCATCCGCCCGGCTCTCTCTGTCAGAGTTACAGTCGGAGCTGATTCACTGTTTTCACCTGGATTTCATGTGTTTTTTCCTGTGCAGTCAGAGGACCACGTGCCTGAGGTGGAGGAGGCCATGATGGCTCAGTGCACAGAGAGGCTGCAGCAGGAGGCCTGCAAAGACCTCTTCAAGGACTGCACCAAGTAAGATTGCAGGGTTTTTAAGGATTCATTTGCTGTTCTTTTGGATACATTTCCCCAGTTTAATCAGATCAGCTTTTTTAAGGCTTGTTCGGACTCTCGCTCACCTCGGACCCCAGGAACATTAAGGTTGAGAGGTTTTCACTGGGCAAGGGGATACTACCAAAAACATAAACAAAAAGTGACTTGTAACACAAATGTAAAACCTAAGCTGTTAGATAAATCAAAGAAATTAAATCTGAGACCCCCCCACACACCTTACAGTCAGGAGTAAGCAGCCCTAAGGCTGAAACAAGAATCCTCGGTCTTTGTTCAGCAGCGCGGGTCACAAGAACCTGACCCGGCCTCCTGAAGCGCCCTGAGAGCCAAAAATCACACAAACAGGTGCGCTTCAAACTGGAAACGATACACCGAGTTCCTTTAGTTTGATCTCAGTGATCCAGACCAGTGAAACCAGTCCATAACAAACTGTTTTCAAAGAAAATCAGAAAAGGAAACATTCAGAGCTGAGACCATTCGCCAAAGACGTCACCAGATATTATTGTTAGGAAACCGATGAACAGGCCGAGGTGTTATTTCCTGACTCTAATGTACATCTAATGACATCAGAGTTTACAAACCACAGTGGAAACCCATAAAACCAAAATAATCTGGTTGTACTTTTAACCTTCCCTTTCACTGCAGTTTAGTAAAGCTGGGATCCACAGCACCATTTACAAACTGGAGTAAGAAACAGTTTCAGGGTAAATAAATTAAATCAGCTGATCAAATGTATTCTTTTACCTCTAAATATTTAAAATACAACAGCTGCTCTTTTTTTCATGCTTTCTCACAAAAAGCCTTTGAACTCTACGACTCGTTTATGGCATCAGCATTTACCTGATGATGGTCAAACACACGAGTAACGGCACCAACAGCTGACTACAACAAAATAAGACGAGCAGACAAAAAGATGAATGTGCCACATCCAGATCCTATCTCAAGTCCAAGCTGCTTCACTTTACTGGGAAGATCACAAGATCTGGAATATTCTGCTTCGCCTGCGGCCGCTTTAACCCTTTAAAACCGGTC